CGCTGCTGGTCGGCGAGGAGCCCGTCACCAGCGGACTCGTCTTCTTCGTCATCGCGGACGTCTTCCTCGTCGTCAGCATCGCGGGATATGTGTACATGACGAGGATGGTGAGGACTCGGGGGCAGGTCGGCGCTCGCTGGCTCTCGCTCTCCTTTGTTATTTTTTTCGTTTTTTTTTCTTCTTCTTCCTCTCGCTTTCTCGCTCTGTCTTTGGGTCCTTTCTCTGTTTGTTTGTTTTTCTTTTTTTTTCTTTTCTTTCCCTCCCTCTTCTTTTCCCCTTTCTTTATTTCTTCTCTGTTCTTCCCTCTCTCTTCCTTCTCCCTTTCTTACCCTGTTCCCTCCTCTCTCTCCCTCCTTTTCCTTCCCCTGTTCCCTTTCTCTTCCTTCCTCCTTTCTCTCCCTCATACCTTCTCTTTTCCATACCCCTTCCCTTCCTCTTCCCTCCTCAACCCCCCCCCCTTTCTATCCTCCTTCCCTCCCTCTTCCCTTCTCTCTCTCCCTCCTGTCCCTTCCTCCATTCCCTCTCTCTCTTCCCTCTCCTCCCTCTTCTTCCCTCATCTTTTCCCTCCCGAGTCTGTCCCTCTCCTCTTCCTTCCTCTTTATGGCTGTTCTTTTATCAGTAACATAGAGAAATTAGTAATTAAAAGAGCAAATATGTAAATACATCGACGTGTTTATGCGTGTGTCTATTAATCTTTTCATTCGCGTTTGTTTATCATTCGCATGCGTCTGTCCACACGCTTCATTTCTGAGCACCAGCATTGCTCTCTCGCACTCCCTCCGACCCCTCCCATGATACCCTCCCTCCCTCCCTCCCTCCACTCCTATGACTCCCTCCCTCCCTCCCTCCCTCCCTCCCTCCCTCCCTCCCTCCCTCCCTCCCTCCCTCCACTCCCATGACTCCCTCCCTCCCTCCCTCCACTCCCTCCCTCCACTCCCATGACTCCCGCCCTCCCCTCCCATGACTCACTCCCTCCCTCCCTCCCTCCACTCCCATGACTCCCTCCTCGCCCGCAGAACTACTACCACTCCGTGAAGGCCGAGGCGGAGGGCAAGGAGCAGGCGGAGCATAAGAGCGACACCCAGACCTACATATCTGTTCTGAAGAAGGTGAGATTTTTGTGCGTGTTTTTTTGTCTCTCTACTTTTTTTTCTTTTGTTTCCATTGTGTGCGTGTGTGTGTTTATCCATTTCTTTTCGTTTTATTTTTTTTCTCATTTCGCCTTGTCTCTTCTCTCTATCAGTCCCTCTATTTCTTTTCTACACCTACCTATCCCTCCCCTCCCCTTCTTTCTATTTTTTTTTATATACATCTATCCAGCCCTCCCTTTCTTCTATCATCTGTTTACTTATCCCTCTCTCTCCTTTTTATCATGCATCCATCCTTCTCCCTCTTTTATTATCTATCTCTCTCACTCCCGTTAATTAGTCATCCATCCATCTCTCTCCGTCTTTTACTACCAATCTATTTATCTCTTTTCATCCATTTGTCCATCCCTCTTCCTCTTTTATCATCCATTTCTCTGTCTCCTTCCCTCTCTTCTATTCTCCATCTGCCCATCTCTCCCTCTCTCTCACAACAAATCTATTCACTCACTCACCCTTCCCTCTCTCTCACTCTCTTTTTTTTATTCATCTATCCATCTCTTTCCCTCTGTTATCATCCGCTTATCTATCTGTCTCTCTCCTCTTAGTCTCTCTCGCCACTAATTTATTCACCCACACACCCACCTACCCCTCTCTCTCACTCCCTTATTTATTCATCCATCCATCTCTTTCCCTCTGCTATCATCCACCCCTTATTCTCCATCTCTCCGTCCTTTCTCTCGCCACTAATTTATTCACCCACACACCCCTCTCTCTCACTCCCTTTTATTATTCATCCATCCATCTCTTTCCCTCTGTTATCATCCACCTCTTATTCTCCATCTCTCCGTCCTTTCTCTCGCCACTAATTTATTCACCCACCCACCCACTCACCCACCCACCCACCCCTCTCTCTCTCACTCCCCAGGTCTGGCTCATGGGAACCACCCTGGGCGGCACTCTCTTCATTACCCTCATGGTCTACCCGGCCGTGGTGGTGTACGTGACATCCGTGTATCCTGAATCGCGCTGGACGGAGGAGTTCTTTCAGCCGACGATCACCTTCCTCCTCTTCAACATCGGCGACACCCTCGGCAGGGAGATCACGCGCTGGTGGAGATGGGTGAGGGATGAGGATCCACCTACAGGGGGAGGTGGAGGGGGTGGGGGCGCTGAGGAAGGGTTAGAAGTAGTTGGGTCCTTTGTGTAGATGGGTTGATAGATAGGTCGATTGGTTGATTGATTGGTTGATTGATAGATAGACAGATAGATAGATAGATGGGTCTTCTCTGTGATATCGTTCGGTCACCAGTGGTCATGGATCTGCTCTCCGCCCGTCGAGACTGTGGCCGCTTGCTGTCAGAGCGAGGCGCCAGGGGTCGATTCTGAAGTGGAGAGATGGTTCCAGCGCTAATTTAGGAATCACGACTCTTCAAGATATATATATATATATATATATATATATATATATATATATATATATATATATATATATATATATATATATATATATATAAATGGGTAAATGTTAATACACTATCACAACCATCATATACATATATATATATATATATATATATATATATATATATATATATATATATATATATATATATATATGTGTGTGTGTGTGTGTGTGTGTGTGTGTGTGTGTGTGTGTGTGTGTGTGTGTGTGTGTGTGTGTGTACACACAATCTTTCGCCCAGCTATACGGGTGGTAGAGACAATAAGGCCATAGTCGATATTAACTGATGGTGGCTTTACATACATACATACATACATACATATATATATATATATATATATATATATATATATATATATATATATATATATATGTGTGTGTGTGTGTGTGTGTGTGTGTGTGTGTGTGTGTGTGTGTGTGTGTGTGTGTGTGTGTGTGTGTGTGTGTGTGTGTGTGTGTGTGTGTGTGTGTGTAAATATTCTGCATCTTAGCTGACCTGTTTAGGTATACAGTTGTAGGTTTAGGACAATAGTTCTCAACCCGTGTGTCGCAATACACTAGTGCGCTGTGACCGCGTCCGAGTGTGTCGCGCAATATTTGACAGAATTGTATGTCTAGCCTCAATTTACTCATTGGGTAAATGTTGACAAGTTCTGATTGAAAACATAATTATGTAGATGAAGACATGCTTTGATGATGATAATGATAAAGGTAATAGTAATAACAAGGAAATGAGGACGCGCTCTCAAGTGTCCAGCCTTATCTACAAGTGTTTTACCAGTCCAGCCAAGCACAAGTTATCTATGAATCAGATATCTTAATACAGTGATTTACAGCAGTCTTGGCATTCTTAAGGAAGTATGACAACCATACATGTATAATACATTCGTATGAATATATTATTGGGGTAAATGTTAAAAACAGCTGTTATGGGGTATGTGTTTGCGGGGTGTGTGTGTGGGGGGGGCACTGCTGGAACTAGGATATTTTATATGGGGGGCGAGGGTGTTGCACAGGGGAGCATGGGAAGAAATATATAAAGCTTAAATAGTTAGTTGTATACGGTAGGGAAGGATGATATCCAGTATATATGTCTTGTATATATGTAACTAAAATCCATAATCGTATGAAGTTATTGTGTGTGTAGTGATTATGAGCAGAATGTCTTCTACAGTTGTAGTTTTAAGAAATATACAAGAACCGTTCACTGGGGCGAAGCGTGCGTAAGTATTAAATGGTTGTGCGTACATGTGAAAGAGAATAAAACTTGAAGATAATGAGCTGAATCTTAAACTCAAGTAGTCGTGGATCCTCAACGTCACTGACACGTACACCAAAATTAAATATATATACTTCCGCACCTCCCCCCACCCACCCCCACACACACACCCATACACACACACTTCCATATCACGCTATCAACCACGAATTTTAATAGACTCACCGCTTTATTCTAATCTCCCTTAGCCACGTGCGCGCGGTTGGCAACTCCACGTGTTCGGCGCGGCGAGGTTGGTATTCCTGCCGCTGCTCATGCTGTGCCATGGAGAAAATAAAACTTTTCCGACGCTGCTCGACCATGACGCTTATTACATCGTACTTATATTTTTCTTCGCCTTCACCAACGGTTATGTGGGAACGCTCACCATGATATATTATCCAAGGTAGGATTTGTGTGTGCGTGCGTGTGTGTGTGTGTGTGTGTGTGTGTGTGTGTGTGTGTGTGTGTGTGTGTGTGTGTGTGTGTGTGTGTGTGTGTGTGTGTGTGTGTGTGTGTGTGTGTGTGTGACGTTTTCACAATGTATCTGTTTTTTCGTTTTTTATTCAACGCACATATAGAGATTGTGCTTTGTTTTCTCTTTTTTTCTTTCATCACCATCGCAACCATCATCACCATCATCATTATCATCACTACCATCATCACCATCATTATCATCATATCCATCATCACCCTAACCATAACCATCACCACCATTATCACTGTAACCATCATCATCACCATCATTATCATCATCACCATCACTATCATCATTATCACCATCATTGTCATCACCAATCATCACCATCACCACCATCATCATCACCAATCATCAGCAGCAGCAGCATCACCATCATCCAGATCCTCCTTTTTTTCTTTGTATTCTTGTAATAATAATGATAATAATAATAATCGTTATTATTACATCCACCATCATCATTATGGTAATAATGATATTGTTAATAATAATAATAATAATAATAATAATAATAATAATAATGATAATAATGATAATAATATAATAATAATGATAATAATAATGATGATAATAATAGTAATAATAATAATAATAATAATAATAATAATAATAATAATAATAATAATATGATGATGATGATGATGATGATGATGATGATGATGATGATGATGATGATGATGATGATGATGATGATGATGATGATGATGATGATGATGATGATGATGATGATGATAATAATAATAATAATAATAATAATGATAATAATAATAATAATAATAATAACAATACTACTACTAATAATGATAATAATAATGATAATAATAATAATTATTATTATTATCATTATTATTATTATTATTATTATTATTAATATCCCCCTCTTCTTTTTCTTCTCCTTCTTCCTCTTCCTCTTCCTCTTCCTCCTCCTCCTCTTTCTATTTGGCCTCCTGCTCCTATTCCTCATCATATTTCTTCTCTTCCACTTCCTCTTTCTCTCCTTCCTACTCCCCATATTCTCCCTCTTTTTCCTGCTACTCCCCTTACCCTCTTCTTCATACCCCTCTTCCTCCTATTGTTTTCCTGTCTGCTCCTCCTTATCCCTTTCCCCTTCCTCGCCTTTCTGCTTCTCCTACTTCCCTTTCTCTTCTTCTTCTTCTTATTATTTTTATTATATTTTTATTATTATTTTTATTATTATTTTACCCCACCACCTCCTCCTCCTGCTGCTTCTACTTTTTCTTCTCCACCTCCTCCTCCTCCTCCTCCTCCTCCTCCTCCTCCTCCTCCTCCTCCTCCTCCTCCTCCTCCTCCTCCTCCTCCTCCTCCTCCTTCTCCTCCTTCTCCTCCTTCTCCTCCTTCTCCTCCTTCTCCTCCTTCTCCTCCTTCTCCTCCTTCTCCTCCTTCTCCTCCTTCTCCTCCTCCTCCTCCTCCTCCTCCTATTCCTCCTCCTCCTCCTCTTCCTATTCCTCCTCCTCCTCCTCCTCCTATTCCTCCTCCTCCTCCTCCTCTTCCTCCAACTTTGCCTCTTCTTCCTCTTCCTTCCATCACAGCCCTGTCCTAGCTACAGTATATACGCCTCCACTTCCCCCTTTACAAAATTCTTAGCCTCTGTTTCCCCCTCAGCCTGGTGGAGCCGAACGAGCTGGAAGTGGGCGGAGCTATCATGGCTGCAATGATGGGGATTGGGATGGTGGTTGGTGCCCTTCTCTCGCCTGCCTTTGTTGCACTCTGGGGTCCTGTGTGAAGGCTATTAGTAGTATGCGTTTGTAAACTATGTGATATATTTATGAAAACTTCTTACATGGACCAAGATACTTAATGAAGATTTTTTTATAGATATGTCTTCTTTTCACCCATTTATTTTTTAAAGATGTGATTTTTAATTTTTCTTGTATGTACCTGAAGCTCTTGTGTGCTTGTGTGCTGGTTAAATTCAGAGTATTTTGGTGTCCTCATTTTCTGAATGTGGTGTGGAGAGTGGTAGACGAAGAAAGGTCACATAGATATAAATAACAGTTATGATAATAAAATACCAATTTCTTAATAATGCATTATCTTATGACAAAAAAAAATAAATTTCTCTATTAATCATCTATGCTCTTCGTAATGGGTCATTTCAGATATTCATTAATATCCATTAATTGCCTTTTTGATTGTAAGTGTCTAAGTGTCCTTTTCGTGTTTGATTCATCTTTTAATTTAAAGACTGGGTGAGTGTGAATAATGTCTCAGTTTAATTGCATCTAATCATTCAACATTAATGAATCCATTGTCATATAATCTTCAAATTATTTTTTATTTCAATGTATTTTATGTAAGTAATCTTTTGGGAATCAGTAAATAATTAATTTCCTTAGTCTTCCTTTACCTTCAATACTTTTCCCTAGTGCACACTTAAGGATGGAATGAAATCGAATGAAACAAAAATATTATATTCAGTATTTATTGTATTTTTACATAAAAATACACAAATATAGATATTTCTAATAGTTCATATTCTGTACATGAAAAAGTCATTTACACTGATATTTTGGTTTCACATACAATTTCTGGGCCACAGTCATTCACTCTCCATATCAATTATGATCTCAGTTTAACAAAATGTACAAAGGGTAAGAATGTAAGAAGCATGACCTGCACTCTCAGTAACAAAACCTATCACGGTCATGAACAATGTAATGGTAATAGGACAAGAAAATCACTGCAATATAATGTTTTTGAATTCTCCCTCAATACCAAATTATCTAAGTCTCAAGGGCAACCCCTCCCTTTCGATTAAGCAAAGTTAAACCATACTATAATTCACTGTCAGATGTTTTACAAGGCTATAGTTTTTTTTGTTTTTTTTGTTTTTGTTTTTGTTTTTTTGATGGAAAAATAAATCCCTCCAAAATGAAGCAATTATAATCCACATGCATTTGCTCAAAACTGAGAAAGTCTAGAAGCCTTTAAAAAAAATGTGGTAATTGCAAATTGAATACAATTTTGCAATTAGAGTAGTTGTACTTGGGCGTTCAAAGAACTGCTTTATGAATAGAGTCTCTCTTCTATTTACATGCTAACGATTATGAAGAAGGCGGGTAGTAAGGTCTTGAGCTGGAATGGGGGTAGGAGCTGGGGGGAGGATAGTTGGAGGAAGGGCCCGCTGGGGGATAGTTCGGGGGAGGATTGTTGGTCGATGGGGGCGGGGGATAATAGGACGAGGATGTCGAGCCATGGGGAGGCGGCGCATAGTGAGAGGGGGGAGGCTGGTTGGTAGGAGGGGCAGGGTAGTGTCCCGCAGCACCTGCTTGGTGGTATGTTGAGGGTGGGTGGCTGGCTGATGAATAGTGTGTGGGTGGGGGCTGTGTCGCATAGTGTGGGGGTGGTGCCTGGGGCGTCGTGACTGCAGGCGGCGGGTAGTGCCTCTGCTGGTTGGGGTATGTTGGAGGGGGTGCCTGTGGAGGCGGAGCCTGTGGAGGAGGACCCTGTGTGGTGGAGGGTGGGTATGGGTATGGGTAGCGTGGTGTGGGTGTTGTAGGCGTTCCCTGTGTGGAGGTCTGTGAAGAATAGGGTGCCTGAGGGTAGTTTTGGTACGCATAGGGGTACTGGTATGGCTGGGGCTGTGGCGTGCTCTCTGTTTTCACTGGCGATGACTTCACCTCCTCCTTCTTAGCCTTTTTGGCAGGCGGGGGCGCAGTGCTGCTGCTTTGTGTGGGCGTTACTGGGCGTCTTGGGGCAGCAGAGGGCATGGTGATGGATGGCTCACTGCTTGCACCACCTGCCTCTGAGCGGTTGGGCGAGTACAGGTCCAGTACCTGGTGACAGATGTCTGTAAAGAAAATGATTGAAAATTGATTAATTATGCAAAAGGGTGTGCAATACAGAAGAAATTTATCTTGAAGCCATAAACAGATGGCATATATATTTAGACACCTTTAACCCAATGCCGCTGGAGAAAATGAATAAAAAATGGAGAAAATGCTGTGCTCATTTTTTATATTTTTTGTGAAATGTCTCTGCACATAGATGGCTCTACTAGTGCTTAGCCTTACCTGATTTCACCTTTCCTTGAATTGGCTGAAAAATGTAATTTTTACTAGTGCTATGAATATCGATGGTGTTATTTTTATTATACACATTATGGTTATTATAATGTTATAAACATTAGTAACAGCAAAATAAGATAACGGAAAATATTTTTGTAAATCTAAGGAAAGGGTAAACGGGCGAGACAGACAGTACTCGTAATTGGTTCATTGGTGACTTAGCACAAGTGTAGCCATTCATGTGTAAAACAATTATACAAGTAAATTCACAGTGGGCATGGCATGTACGTACACGTTGTCGCCGGGAAAATGCTGTGACCATTTTAGAAATTTTTATGAAGTGTCTCTGCAAGAGCTTAGCCACAAAGGAGTCAATTAATAGTCCTTGTGACCTTACCTGATTTCACCTTTCCTTGATTTGGCAGATAAAAAAATTAAAAAGGCAAGACAGGTTGTACTCGTGATTGGCTCACTCGTGACTTAGTTCAAGTGTAGCCATATATGTGCAAAAACAATTAATAAAGTAAACTCACAATGGGTATGGCACGTACATACATATCATATCATGCCTGTTGACTTTGGGTTAAAATAAAAAACATAAAAAAAGAAGCACTGCCAAGAATGTAAATCAATATTTCACCCTTGTAGAAAACAGCATTATTAGCACTCATTTAGGAGCACCAAGAGAATTTTTACTGCTTTGCTGAATGCATTTAGCTCTGAGGACAATAAAGTTACCACTACTGTCTGACATTACCATCCCTGTGATGAAGAGGGAACAGGGAGTTGGGCTACCTATCACAGCCTTCAGCTTTCTACAGCTACAGTCAGGACTGTGGTAGATGGGTGGCATCTACCGCTTGAATTGGTCTCTTTAGGGAGTGTTCGTAGTGGTATGTATCTACCACTTGAACTGTGGACTGTGTAAATGAACTGGGAATGAATGGATCATAGAGTCCATTCAAGGAGCCATGAGGTATCCGTGTCAACCAGTCAGGTCTCTGCAGTGAGTCAAGAGAAATGCTTGTGGGTGAGAGTAAATATATATATATAAATATAGTTTGA